CTCTCCTCTCAGGATCTTGGGCATGCACGCACACGCACCTGGCCTGAGTTTTAAGCCACCCGGTCCGGGATGCGAACTGTAGTCAACTACGTGGGAGTCCAGCGACATAGCCATTATGCTAACTGCTGGTCCCTGTGCCTAAAATTGTAAGAGGAGACTAGAGGAGAAGGGACTGTGGCATGACCATCCCCCTGGGGGCTAGTTCTCACTTTCCTTCTGTGTGTCTCTCTCTCCGGCGCGTGCACATACTCTATGGCAAAAACAGCATATGGTTTTTTCTAAGTATCCAGAAGCCCCCTTATAAAGCTTCTTTTCAGTTTTGTTAAATTTTCCCATCCAAAGTAATATTATACACAGTATATAATTCAATTAATTTGCATGTGCAACTATTCAAATCAGGTCTTTTTATTTAATGACCAATTTCTTAAACTTTATGTGTAAAGAAAACACAAAATTCCAACATATTTTTTAAAGTCGTCAGAGTGTACTCTATTGAAAGCAGTCCTCAGCTGTTGGAAACCAGTTCAAATATATTTCTTCATGAATGGGATTCTCATAATAGAGGATGAAGGTTGGTTCACTGTGACAAGTCACAGAACAGGCTGTTGGCCCCTCCTGTCAATTAATTTGGGATTCGACTTCCCTGCTGAGAGAGGAGGCAGCATCCTAAAAACAGTCTATAATTACTGCTTCCAGCTAGGATAGTAGGAAATCTGTTCTTGGCAGAAACAACTAAGGGGAAAAAGAGCTTTTCATTAGAATCACAGAGGAAACAACTGTTCTTCAGAGCTTTTCTTGCAGAGCGATGACTATTTCATTTTTGCTTGTTTTTCTCACATCACTCATCCTCAGCATCTCATCTTACAACACAATATGAAGCTTGCCTAAAGCTGCCCATTGCACTAACCTCATCTCACAAAGACCAAGGTTCGACAACACTGTCCTTCCTGGTGCATCGAAAGAGAGTCTGAAGTTGGCTTTTAAAGTGTTAATGCGTATAATTTCCCTGTTTCTTAAAAATATTTTCACAAAAGTGTAATTAGTAGTAATCATCTTTCAAATCCTCTGAATTTGCCCAACTTGTTATCCATGACATTGCTGGTTTCACTGACCATTTGAGAACTTGACCTTTCCCATCCTTCTGAAACACAAGTCTTTATTATTGGGCAGTGGCAAGGATGGAGGGAATAGATTTTTTTTTTTTAAATGCTCCTTCCTTCTCCCTTGAGAATATTCAAGCTCATACCTGTGTGAACTCTTGCCCTACTGTCCAAATCAGACTTAACCATTTCTTCCAAAAAGCCAGCTCTGCAGACAGAAGGTATGTCAATTGTTGAAGAACATGGTTTAAAATGACATTGTAAATGCCACTCAAAGTGGTGGGGTCTGTTAAGAACCTGAAGCACTGCACTGTAGGTACACTAACATTCTATTGGGATTCACTTTGCAGGTATCATTCCTTGGAATGCTTTCCCAGGAAAAATATGTGGCTCTGCCCTAGAGAACATCTGCAACACAAACGAGGTAAACTGGTCAAAGTTCAGAGGGCTTCTGTGCTATGGCCTTACAAATTAGGCCGAGAAAAGGGTACTCCTAGTCAGAAAGGAGAGCACCAAAATGCTATTAAGGAAAGATTTTTCTTGTGGCCTTTAGGATTGAACTGTAAGCAAACATCACTATTCAGCCATTTTTCACTGCAAAAATGGCCATTTCAGGTGGCCTAGCCCATTTGGTGAGGATTTATAGGAACTGGAGAGTTTTTCTTCCTGGCAATAATTTAAGAGTGATCCCAAATCTCCAAACCTGAGAATGTATCGAGATTCTTCTCTTTTCCTGTCAAAAAGGTTTTCAAAGTACATTTGTCGGGGCTGGCAGATAGCGTGGTGGTTATGGGCGCTGGACTCCCACATGCTTGACCACGGTTCAAGTCCTGGACCTGGCAGCTGTCTTTCTCTCTCTCTGTCCCTTGCTGGTTAAATAAAAATAAAGTTTAAAGAATTGCTTTTAAAAAAAAGTACATTTGTCACACAACAAATATAAGTTAATTTTCATAGAAATGATTCCCCTGAATGTGTACATACACCAAGTTTTTAATAAATAGGCCACAGCTAATCATTTATGACTTGCTGTTATTTCTCCATTTCTCATTCATTCCTAACTGGCAGTATATCATAATACTTTGGTTTAAACTGCCTTGGCCCTAAAATACTCTTCAGTCATTGGCTTATAACTACTTGTAAAGCAAAGTTCTTAAGTGCACTAGTGGGAACATACATATTTAAGAAAATCCTAATGTATTTTTGGAAAGCAATGAGGTATAGAAATAACAGGCCCTACTCAATCTGGTGTGTCAGTCTGTATGTCCATAATATGGACTGGCTCAGAGCAGGGGCTCCCAAGCATGGCTGGCCATCGTAGCCATCAGGGGAGCAGTACCTGGCCAGCCCCAGGTATTTGGATTTAATTGGTTCGGCATGCAGCCTGGGCATCAGAAAGTTTTAAATCTCCTCCTATGATTCTACTGTGGGCCAGAGCTAGAAAGGAATGTAGGCCTGCGCCTAGCCTTGCAGAGAACTGCAAAGAAGAAAGACGAAGCAGCCCCCCCCAGAATGGACGTAGGCCATGTTGTGCCACATAAAAGCTCACGTCGGTGCCTTCTTCTTTCCTAGTTCTATATGTCCTATCACCTGTTCATCGTGGCCTGCGCAGGAGCTGGTGCCACTGTCATTGCCCTGGTGAGTAACAGCCCCAGAACCACCCTAGGCTAGCTCCCTTCTCCCAGCCTCTAAATGACAGATTTTCCTTCCAGCTTTTACCAGCTCACTGAAGCAAATGATCCTGGCACTCAAGTGTGGCTGTCACCTGTGTAAACTTACCACATGTCTAGTTCGCAGGAAGTCCTAGTTGGCTGCCTTGGCACCGATTCTAGGTGATATAATTTGGAGTGTGTGGAAAGAAGAGAGGGTACCAACACCTGTTGACTAGGCTCAGCACATTGCTTTGTGGCATTTAGTGCTTAGTTTCATGACATCTACCACGGCCAGATGCTCACATGAGGCATTATCCATTTCTTTGCCAAGAAATCGTCACTTCCAAATGGAAAGATGCATATATACACACGTGTATATACACAGTTGATCATAGTACACATGGTAATTATGTTCTATAAAGTCACTCTGGAAGCTGAATTAGCAAGTGACTGAGTCAGTGCCCCAAGGAAAATATAGGCTAGGATTCCTGTGAATCTCTGGGCACATCATTTTCATCAACCTATCACTACATAACCTTGTCTTACGTAGAGATCTTATTGACTATATATTGTTGACTGGTCAATGTTGAATTCACAGATAACTCATTTCTGAACAAAGCTTATCTAACACATTTTTTTTCACAAGGCACACTGCAGTCTTGGGCTTTAGGGAGACCAGACAACATTGCAGCACTGTGCCTGAGAGCCATTTTAAACATCAAAATCACCAACAAAAAGGGCAAAAAATGCAAAAGCCATGTCACTAAATATGCCATGAGGAGGAGACTGTTCAGCCTGAGCACTGAAACACTGCCGTGTTCGTGTTCAAGCTCGGCTGGGAACGTTACACGGGGAGCAACTCGCTCCTTCACTGCTCTGCACTTTGTGACTGCTAAACATTGGGAAAGTGCCTCCAGTATGGATCTGAGGGTTACAAATAAACGTTGACAAGTAAGCCAATTTATACATATGAATTCCGAGTAATGAGGATCAACTGTGTAAATATACATGTGTGTAACTGGGGGAGGGGGTTTGGTTGGTGATTTGAAGAAAACCAACCCAGATTAGTAGAACAAGGGGGAAATCTCGGCTGCTCAGAAATGAGTCATCCTGGTTTTCTATCCATTAAGCCATTCCCTCCCATAAGAGTCTGTGAGAAAGCCACCTGTGGAATCGCAGTGGTGACCTGCCTGCCTGCCTCTTGGCTGCAGCAGTCCTTGCAGCTGAGCGGCAGGCCAGAAGAGGAACGACAGCCGTCGAGCAGGCAGTTTAGGAGCAAGGAGCCAGTAGGGCATGAGCCCCACCCTCATGCTGCCGAGCCAGCTCTCCATCTCGCTATCCCTCAAACACATCCCGTCTTTTTAGTAAGCTGAGGGCAGAGCCAAGGACTTCAGTTGTGTGTGTGTGAGATGAGAAAAAGTCTGTGCGTGCTAGATATGAAATTCGTCCACTGTGCCTGGAAGTGGGGGAA